ACCATCCCATCAGGGCACCTGGGTACAGACACAGGGAGGACATGGAGGGGATCCGTCAGGGAAAGCTGGCCAGATGAGGAGAAAGAGGGAGAAAACTCCCACCTGGGGTACCCTGACAAGACAGTGCAGGAGGGACGGGCTTCTCCTGTCTTCAGGGCAGGGTCCCTTCAGTCCCCCTTTTTGGGGAGAAGGATCTGGGCTTGTGCACTCCAGCCCCCAGGGCTCCTGCTGAGTGTTCAGAGCTGCCCCTTCAGGAGCTGGGCCTTCTCTGCAAGGCCTGCACTGGCCTCCCTGGGCTGCAGGGGAAGCCTATGTGAGGGGGCATCTCATCCAAGTCAAGGGTCAGAAGGGTTTGGGCACAAGCCAAGCCTCATCCTCCAGTCAAGCTTTAATACAAGGATCCTCTTGTCCTCCACCTGTTGACTCTTCCTACCAATCGCAGCCAGCACTGGAGCGTCAGAGGAGAGCAAATTACTATTGGTCCCTACGTCCCCAAATAGGAAAGATTCAGATCTTATTGGGGAACAAGGGCTGGATGTGAGGCCAGCTGAGTTGGCTCGGGTTTTATGGGAACCTTGAAGGAGCACACATATGGCCTCATTATGACTTCTGTCTGTGGTAGACACTTGTCTTTCTAGGCTCCTTCTGAGGAGGTGTGGGAAGGGGGCCCTGGGGAAGGACACACAGAGGAATGGGGAGGGGCTGCTGCACGCTCAGGAGACCCCACAGGCACAAGGGAGCCCTGAGGAGGTAGGAGGGGCTGCATGGAAACCGGAGAAAGGGGTACAAGGAAACTGGGGGTCTCTGTGGGTTGGGAGCCCCCTAGGCTCCCATGTCTCACCGGGTTCTGCACTTGTCGCAGAATTCAGGTGCATCTTCTCTACGGAAAGTGCCAGGTTTGCACTGACACTCAGTGTCCTTGGTTGAGGTGCACGGACTTTTCTCTTCTTCCTCTGGAGACCAAAGGTAAGGTTTTGGGGGGTGTGTTTCCCTCACGTGTCTCTCAGCCATTCTTCACCACCCAGATCCCCACCCACTCAGTTCTACTCAGTTCAGGAAGTAATTTGGGGGCCATTTTCTGCAGCAACACACACAGACCATCCAAAGGACAGCCACTGTTCACGTGTCACCAATGGAGGCATATGAAAGGGACCATGCGTCATTACAGATCACATCAGGATTGGGAAGAAAAAGGTTTTAGGTCACAAATCAGGAGCAAGTGCTGGGGTGGGGGTGGGGCAGGGTGTAATACGAGACACTCTGGATGGAGAGGACCGCTTTGGTGACTTCCCAACACCTGGCCCAGCTGGTCATGAGAGAGGCTGAGATCCCGGAGCAGAAGTCACAGGGCTCACAGGGGACCGGCCCAGAGCCAGACTCGCCACACAGCTCAAACCCAGCCCTGTCCCACTCACCCAGGCCTCCCGTGCTGTCACTAACCAGCCCCTCCGTCACGGGACACATTACTCCCCCCCTTCCAACTGATGCTCTGGAAGACTTCCCTACCAGGTGGCATACGTTATACAAATAATTTCTGTTTTCATTTATTTTACTGACCTAAGACAGGGTAGGACGAAGACCTAGCTGGGCTGGAAATCAGGTTGCTGACTTCCCGTTCCATTCAAATCCCATCTCATCACCCAACTGTAGGCATGGGGACAGGTTCTGTACCTGATTTGCAAGTCTTACAGAGTAAGCAAGAAGACAGGGTGTTTGAATAATTGGTGTAATCCACCTTATCCGTGCACGGCACACAATCTCCACTGGCTTCCTCCATGTGGAACCCTGGGAAGGAAGGGAAAAGCTGGTGAGTAAATCCCCACAGGATTCCCAGAGGCTGGCAGTGTGGACAGGGCTGCCTCTTTCGGCCATCCGTGGAATCCACACAGAGAACTCTCCCTGACCTGGCTTTAACCTTTTGATTCTGCATCTACCACGTACCTTAGACCAGTACTGCCAACAGGAATATATTACAAGCCACACATAAAAGCACATTCACAGTTGGCACATTAAAGAGTAAAAAGAAAGAGGCAATATCCAACACAGTATCATTTCAACATGTATCGATATAAAACAGTGAGATTTTTACTTACTTTAATACCTCACTAAAAAAATAAAACTCATGCTCCCTTCACAGTGTTCAGGGTTTATGGCCTCCTCCCACCTGTCCCGGTGACCTCTCCACCCTCCACTCACCCCAGCTGCCCCCTAGCTTTGCTCAAACAAGCCCAGCCCTGCCCCCTGGGGTGACAGTTCCCGGGGCCCCCTCAGGAGCACTCTACCTGGCTCTCTGCACCGAAGTCACCATCCCCAGGAGGCCTCACCAACCCCGACTCTGTCCCACCCATCACTCAATTATCCTCACGGTTTCTATCTCATCTCTCTGACTGTCATATCTGTCCATCTGTCTGGGTACCATCCTAGGAGGAGTGTTCCAGGAGGGCGGGGGCCTCGTGCCCTCCACTAGCACAGCGCCTGGCACACGGAAGACTTCCAGTAAATGCCTGTGGAATAAGAGCCGGGAACTGCAGGAATCAGAGGACCAGAAGGACATGAAGATAAGGGTGCGGTAAGGGTTGGAGATCAGTCTTAGAATGTACCTGGTAGACACTTCTCTGAGCGGCTGTGTTTCCCTCCCTGCGGGGAAGCTAATTGCTGGTGAAATTTTTCCTGCCTTATGGGCATGGCTGAAGCAGCTGCAATCTGTGGAGACAAAGCAGGGACAGGCATGAGTGGCTTTCAGACTCTCATCCCTCCCAGGATGTATCCCACAGTCCCTTGACCACAGCCTGCAAAATGAAACAGAACTGGGGCCTTTCTTCCAGCTATAAACTCTCATTCTTTTCATGTTTGTCCCCTGGCCTTTTGTGCTACCAAGTAACTTACACATAAATTTTTTTCCTGGTATTCCTTTCTCTTATAATAAAATAAAATATGTTTATTCCAGAAAGCATGGGCAAGGAAAAATTTTTTATAAGAACACAGAAACCACAGGGATCCCCCCAGTTAGAGAAAACATCCATTATTTTGTGTCTTTACTCCTTCTATTTGACCATACGTGTAATACTCTCAGGCTCGCTCTCTTTCTTTCTCACATGCGCGTCCGTGCGCGCACACACACATTTTCACAAATGAGTCATACTATGCACACACTTTTTCAAAATCAGGATACAGGATCACAGTTGAGTAATGAACTTTTGGCTTTAACCGGACAAGCTGTCCTGGAAAGGAAGCTGCTAGCGTTCCACATAATGAGTCACATAGAGGAAGAAGAAATAGCAATACAGAGTTTTGAGATGAGTCTCCACGCTAACAATGACACAATGGGGCCAGTCGAAAAAATCTGAATGGAGTCTGAGGATTTGATGAGGATTAACGTGTTGATGTTAGTGTTCTGATGTTGAAGGCTGTGTAGTAGTTTTGGGGGAGAATGTCCTCATTTGTAGGAAATATACATTCTTCAGTCATGGGATCTATCATATCAGCAGCTATTTTTCACATGGTACAGGAAAAAGGGGTGGGGGTTGTATAGTCTTTGCAACTTTGCTTTAACCTGGGAGTGACAAAATAGAAAGTGAAATTAAGGGAAAAAAAAGAAAGAAAGAAAAACACAGTTAAGATGGAAACAGCTTACGTTGAGCCCAGTTCAACTGCCTGGATCTAAAAAAGATAAAATGCAGCTCTCTTCCACAGAAAAGTCTGTCAAGTATTTGGGGACAGCTAAGCCCACATACGTCCTCTAAGTCGTCCCTTCCCCAGGCTGGGCCTCCTCTGACTCCCCACAAGTTGGTGGAATCTCCTTTCCCTGCCTTCACAGTCCTATTCCCTCCTCTCTTTCCTGGTTCTCCTCTCACAGGCGCTCTCCCTCAATGTTTTATTATGAACATTTTCATGCATCCAACAAAGTTTAAAGATCTGTACGGTAAACTCTCATATACTCACCACCTAGATTCTGTAACTAACATTTTGCTATATTTGCTTTATCACATATTTCTTTCTTTTTTAAATTAATTTATTTAATTTTTATTTATTTTTGGCCGCGTTGGGTCTTCGTTGCTGCACGCGGGCTTTCTCTAGTTGTGGCTCGCGGGCTCTAGAACGCAGGCTCAGTAGTTGTGGCGCACGGGCTTAGCTGCTCCACGGCATGTGGGATCTTCCCGGACCAGGGCTTGAACCCGTGTCCCCTACACTGGCAGGCGGATTCTTAACCACTGCGCCACCAGGGAAGCCCCAAATTTCTTTCTTTATCTATCCCTCTGTCCATTCTCCTATGTGTCTTATTTTTATGATGAAATTCACGTCTGCAACTCAATACTTCAGCATTGTCAGTAACTTGAGCTCCATATTTCTTTACAGTTTTTTTCAGTGTTAAGATTTACAAAGAAAGAAATGCACAATTCTTAAGGGTACCATTCAAACAGTTTTTAAAAACACATACACTTGGGAAACCCAAACCCTCTATCTAGATCCTGGAAATTAGCATTACTACAGAACATTCCTTCACACCCCTTTCTAGGTTATCCTAATCTCCTATGTGACTCCAAGAGGAAGCGGCCTTCATCAGATGGAGGAAGGTCTCTTCTGCCCTGATATAATGAGAGGTTTTAGCATGACAGGGAGGTTAAGAGTTGTCGAATGCTTTTTCTGCATCTGTTAAGCTGTTCATATAGTTTTTCTCCTTCATGGTGTTAGCATAGTGAAAAACAGACTCATTTTCAGATGTTATTCCTGTGACTAAACCCACTTGGTCATGGCATGTTTTCTTCTTTAAATATTCCTGAATTTAGTTTACTATTTGTTTTGTTAAGGAATTCTGCCTCTGTTTTTAGGAAGGATATTGAAACATATTAATATTTTTCTTCTTTTCAAATGTTTTTGTCAGGTTTCACTATTAGGGTTATGCTGGGCTTAGAATCTACTGAAGAACTCTTATGTTGTCTGAAAGAATTTGTGTAAGATTTTTGTCAGTTCTTTTACTGTTTGTATTTTTGCCCCCTCCCCTGCTGCCTAATCTGGGGTCTCCTGGTCATCCACCCCCAGTCTCAGAAATCTCACGGATCTTTGAAAATCTCTACTGGCACTGAGGAATCAAAACCACAGCACTGTGGTGCCCCATTTTTACTTCTTAGACTAGCAAAGAATTAAAGTTTAATGTGGCAAAGGGGTAGGGAAACAGGCACACTTGTGGACTCTCGGTGTGAGGTAAAATCGTCCAGCCTTCTTTTGGAGGCCAGTTTATCCTTATCTAAACAAAAGTGTAAAATTATCTAACCTGCTGACAGCAGTTCCACTTCTAAGGAGCTACCTAACGGACAATGCACATGGCTACACGGATACTTGACAGTGCGTACAGGCACCCAGAGCCATTCATCAAGCCGTGTTCAACATGAATCCTACCTATGATAAACTGATAATTTTAAAAACTAAGTCTATATTTTTTTGTGAATACAAAACGCTATTTCTTTTCTGATTTTTAGTACTAATTTGTACAATGAAAAGTACACATTTTCATGATTCCTGTAACCTTGTTAGGCCCTTAATTTTTTTTTTTTTTTTCCTGTGAACATATAAGAAACTTCGAAAAGAGCTTCAAACAACCGGAGAAAGCAGTGGAAGGAGGCACATTTTTTTCCATAGTGAGTTTCTTTGGGATGCACACTGATAGTGGTAAATCGCCCCCAGAGCCTCCAGCTCGCCTCCTAAAGAAGCGGTGAGAATCTGGTCCCAACTGTGGGTTGATTGATGGTTTCTACACAGCACCCATAAATTGCAACAAACAGCAAGCAACGTTAAGGGTTGCTCCCCTTTCAGGGAAAAGGAAATTCAAAGGAGCTTAAGGCAGTGGTGGGGGAAGGCAGGGGCCTACACGGTTAATCGATTTACAAAGGACACGTTTTAAACGTTAAACGTAGTGCAAAATAAAAAGAGAGAGAGAAAAAGAGTGAGGAGGATCGGAGGAAGGAAAGGGGAAGAGAAAGAAAAGGCGATCTGTCTGTCACTCGCTGATGCTCTCCTGGGACCAATCTGGAGGCCAGACCCTCCAAGGACCCGGAGGCGGAGAGCGGGCTCTTCTCCTTCGGGGCCGCAGGTAGATGTTGCCAGCCCCGGATCCGCACTCCGCCACCCCCTCACCCCCTGTACTTGGGCTTCGCCCGGGTGGGTGCTGCCGGGACATGCCCAGCCGTGTCCCGCCCCCCTCGCCCCCGCCCCTTCCCGGCCACGGAGCGCGCCATCTGGAGCCGGGACTCGCGGCGGGAGCTCACCGACAGCAGGACACCCAGGACGAAGAAGATGAGAACCAAGGGGCCCCGCAGCCGAGGCCTGGGACCGGGGGCGCGCCCTGCCCGGGTACTCGAGGCGGCCTGTGTGCTCTGTGCCCGCTGCCACGTGCGGTCGCGGGGCGCTCGCTGTCCAGGTCGCCGCGGAGTAGCCATCAGGAATGAAAGTGTGCTTCGTGGGGCGCCGGATCGTCCCTGCCGCCTGTGGGATGCGCGGGGCAGGGCTCTATGGTCTAATGATTCAGCCTGACGCTAGCTTTATATCCTCGGGTTGCGTCACCCGCGGGGGCGAATGAGCTACGCCTTCCGTCGAGTTGACGTAAACATTCACCACTTCTAGCCAATCGCGTATGGCTCAGGAGAGGAGCCCAGCGACCTTGACGGCACCTCTGTTTCAAAGAGGAAACTGCCTGCTTTGGCGGCTGATGCCCGGGGATGTGCCTTTGGAGGTGGGGACAGGGCACCTCCCACATGCTCTGTTGTGATCCGGGCTGTGAGATTCAGAATCTGCGTTCAAGGCGGGTCCTGACCCTGCCCCTTTGCAGGGCAAATGCCCCACCCGTTCATAAACCCTGAACCACCTGTCTTCTGACTACCGCCTTCTGCCCACTCTCAGCTTCTGCTCCTCCCCGCCCCCCTTCCATTGACCAGGGCCCCAAGGAGGCCAGAGAACAGGGACTCCCAAGAAGTAGACCCCCCCCCCCCCGCGAGAGTCTGCGGAGCGCCTCCAGCCCCGCTTGGCACAGAGTGGATGCCCTGCACGTATTGTAGGGGTGTGAACTAAGAAACCTTGAATTGTTAGAAAAATGAGTAGACTGCCAGACTCACTTGCACTTTCTGAGATTTAAGTGCTTAGAGAATGAGAGAGACCTGGTGGGATTTTTTGCCCTGGGCCTATTCACGTAATTAATGTTAATGATCAATTTACTATCGAATTACAAATAAGTATTTATTTAAAGGCAAAGGATACACACTATATTTTCCTGTTGTGAACTCTACTTTTTAAGGACCTTAATTATCATTAGCATGGCTGTATAAATTTACTTTCATCACGTTTGTTTTATAAACCTTAAGTTGTACCTGATAGAACATTTGGACCCTGGTGAATACCCCCTCAGGGTTCCCAGCATCTTCCTCTACCCTCTTCCTCACCCTCCAGTGTCTGGGCCTCTGATATCTGCGGGCTCTTGCCATGGACTCCATGGTGCTGTTCCCAAGCCCGAGTCTGTCCCCCATTCTTCACTGGTGCTGGGCCCTCTATCCTAGGGGGGTGTGAGCATTTACAACACAATGCAGGTACAAATACTTTGTTAAAAAAAATTTAAAAAGTTCCATCAAAGTCTGTTACGGCACCTTTCAGATATAATGATGCAAAATAAAGAGAAAGGAACCTTTATTATGAAAACCTCTTCCACTGAAAGGAATAATCTATTCACGGTGAGCCTGGTTCAAAGCAGAGTAAGTCATCCTCCTCTTCCCTCTATGCCTTTCCTTTCTTTCCTTCATCATTTTGCTCCACAGGCCTACTTCCTATTAGGATGTTGCAGATTGGGAACAAGGGTCCCTGTCCTTTGCTGCATGGTGGTAGTGGTGGGGTGAAGTGGGGGGGGACCACAACTGGGAGGTGTTCTGGAAGCTGCCCCCTCAGAAGCCTGGTGAGGGCCCAGAAGCCTCGTAGGGAAGTGCTTCTGTATTAGCTGTTTGTCACAGCAATGCCCCCAACCAGACCCTATATTTGATTTTTTTTTCTGTTTTTTAATTGCAGACCAGAATACCAACATGTCCACTGGAGACCTCTGGGTTCTAATCATCCCTGAGTCAATAAATCCCTGTGTGACTTGAGGAAAGTTTTTTTTAATTAAAAACATTTTAAAAATATTTTACACACTGCCCCTTGACCCCGGTGGCCTGAGGCAGGTCTTCTAGTAACAGTCCAACTAGAGGAAGGGGAGTCTAAGCTGGTCCTGGGGAGGGGAGCTGCCAGAGAGAATCCAAGGCAGACTGGATGGAACTGATGACTCAGGCTGGTGGAGGTCTTGGGTACCCCCCAGCCTCGTCACCTACCATGGCACTGAGAACGAAGAGGAAGCAAGAGACATTCCAACCAGCCAGAGGAAATCCTCCCCAGCCCCTGTGCAAAAGCCCACAGTCATGGAGCTGTCTCTGAGTCTCTTAACTCTCCGTTTGCATACAGTCCTTTTTTCTTTTCTTTTTGCCTTTTGACCTTCTTCACCCATTTCTCCACCCCCGCCCACCCGCCCTCCCCACCTCTGGCAACCATCAATCTGTTCTCTGTATCTGTGAACTTGATTTGGGGGTTTTTTGGGTTTTTTTTTTTTAAGATTTTATATGTAAGAAAGATTATATTGTATTCTCTTTCTCTGTCTGGTTTATTTCACTTAGGATAATGCCCTCAAGGCCCATCCATGTTTTCACAAATGGCAGGATTTCATTCTTTTTATGGTTGGATAATAGCACGTTGTGTGTATGTCTGTGTGTGTGTGTGTATACATATATATATGCCACAATTTCTTTATCCATTCATCTATTGATGGACACTTAGGTTGTTTCCAGATCTTGGCTATTGTAAATAATGCTGCTATGAACATGGGTGTGTTCCAGTTAGTGTCTTCATTTTTTTCAGATAAATACCCAGAAGTAGAATTGCTGGATCATATGGTAGTTTCATTTTTAATGTTCTGAGGAACCTCCATAATTTTTCATAGTGGCTGCACCAATTTACCATCCTACCAAGAGTGCACAGGGGTTCCCTTTTCTCCGCTGCCTCACCAATACTTGTTATTTCCTGGGTTTTTTTGATGATAGCCATTCTAACAGGTGTGAGGTGATATCTCATTGTGGTTTTGATTTGCATTTCCCTGATGATTAGTGATATTAAACATCTTTTCATGCACCTGCTGGCCATCTGTATGTCTTCTCTGGAAAAATATCTGTTCAGATCTTCTGCCAATTTTTAAATTGGATCGTTTGGTTTATCTTATTGAGTTGTATGAGTTGCTTATATATTTTGGATATCAGCCTTTTATCAGATATACGATTTGCAAACATTTTCTCCCATTCAGGATGTTGCCCTTTTGTTTAGTTGATGGCTTCCTTTGCTGTGCAGAAGCTTTTTAGTTTGATGTAGTCTGACTTGTTTATGTTTGCTTTTGTTGCTTTTCCTTTTGGTGTCAGATTCAAAAAATCATTGCCAGGACCAATGTCAAGGAACTTACTGCCTACGTTTTCTTTCTAGGAGTCTTATGGTTTCAGTTCTTACGTTCAAATCTTTAATCCATTTTGAGTTAATTTTTGTGTATGGGGTAAGATAGCAGTCCGGTTTCGTTCTTTTGCATGTGGCTTTCCAGTTTTCCCAACACCATTTATTGAAGAGACATCCTTTCCCCATTGTATATTCTTGACCCCCTTGGCATAAATTAATTGACCATATATGCATGGGTTTATTTCTGGGCTCTCTATTCTATTCCATTGATCCATGTGTCTGTTTTTATGCCAATACCATACTGTTTAATTACAATAACTTGGAAATATAGTTTGAAATCAGGAAGCAGGATGCCTCTAGCTATGTTCTTCTAAGACTGTTTACGCTATTTGGGGTCTTTGGTGGTTCCATACAAATTTAAGATTATTTTATTTATTTAATGTTTATTTTTATTTTTTTTCTTATTACTCATCCATTTTATACACTTCAGTGTATAAAATTTGTCCTTAATTTTTCTTTGTCTTTAATTTTTGCCAATTTGCTTACTATGTGTCTCGGCGTGTTTCTCCTTGGGTTTATCCTGTATGGGAGTCGCTGTGCTTCCTGGACTTGGGCGGCTCTTTCCTTTCCCATGTTAGGGGAGTTTTCGACTATAATCTCTTCAAATATTTTCTCGAGCCCTTTCTCTCTCTCTCCTTCTGGGACCCCTATAATGTGAATGTTGTTGCGTTTAATGTTGTCCCAGAGGTCTCTTAGGCTGCCTTCATTCCTTTTCATTCTTTTTTCTTTATTCTGTTCTGCAGTATTGAATTCCACCCTTCTGTCTTCCAGGTCACTTATCCGTTCTTCTGCCTCCGTTATTCTGCTATTGATTCCTTCTAGTGTATTTTTCATTTCAGTTATTGTATTGTTCATCTCTGTTTGTTTGTTCTTTAATTCTTCTAGGTCTTTTTGAACATTTCTTGCATCTTCTCGATCTTTGCCTCCATTCTTTTTCCAAGGTCCTGGATCATCTTCACTATCATTAATCTGAATTATTTTTCTGTAAGGTCCCCTATCTCCATTACCTTTAGTTGTTTTTCTGGGGTTTTATCTTGTTCCTTCATCTGGTACACAGCCCTCTGCCTTTTCATCTTGTCTATCTTTCTGTGAGTGTGGTTTTTGTTCCACAGGCTGCAGGATTGTAGTTCTTCTTGTTTCTGCTGTCTGCCCTCTGGTGGATGAGGCTGTCTAAGAGGCTTGTGCAAGTTTCCTGATGGGAAGAACTGGTGGTGGGTAGAGCTGGCTGTTGCTGTGGTGGGCAGAGCTCAGTAAAACTTTTATCCACTTGTCTGCTGATGGGTGGGGCTGGGTTCCCTCCCTGTTGGTTGTTTGGCCTGAGGTGACCCAACACTGGAGCCTACCTGGGCTCTTTGGTGGGGCCAATGGCAGACTCTGGGAGGGCTCACACCAAGGCGTATTTCCCAGAACTTCTGCTGCCAGTGTCCTTGTCCCTTGGTGAGCCACAGCTGCCCCCCACCTCTGCAGGAGACCCTCCAACACTAGCAGGTAGGTCTGGTTCAGTCCTATGGGGTCACCGCTCCTTCCCCTGGGCCCTGATATGCACTCTACTTTGTGTGTTCCCTCCAAGAGTGGAGTCTCTGTTTCCCTCAGTCCTGCCGAAGTCCTGCAATCAAATCTCGCTAGCCTTCAAAGCCTGATTCTCTAGGAATTTCTCCTCCTGTTGCCAGACCCCCAGGTTGGGAAGCCTGACGTGGGGCTCAGAACCTTCACTCCAGTGGGTGGACTTCTGTGGAATTGTTCTCCAGTTTGTGAGTCACCCACCCAGCAGTTATGGGATTTGATTTTATTCTGATAGCGCCCCTCCTACCATCTCATTGTGGCTTTTCCTTTGCCTTTGCATGTGGGGTATCTTTTCTGGTAAGATACAGTGTCTTCCTGGCGATGATTGTTCAGCAGTTAGTTGTGATTCCGGTATTCTCGAAAGAGGGAGTGAGAGCATGTCCTTCTACTCTGCCATCTTCCTTACCTCAAGTGCCAAGATCATTTTTTTCTATTTCTGTGAAAAATGCGATTGAAATTTTGATAGGGATTGCATTGAATCTGTAGATTGTTTTGGGTATATGAACATTTTAACAATATTGATTCATCAATTCCATGAACATTTACTATTTTTCTATTTATTTGTATCTTCTTCAATGTCTTGTAGTTTTCAATATACAGATCTTTCACTTCCTTTGTTAAATTTATTCCTAGGAATATTATTCTTTTTGATGCAATTGTAAATGACATTATTTCCTTAATTTCACTTTCTGAGGGTTTATTATTAGTGTAAAGAAATACAATAAATATTTATATCAATAAAGATAACTTTATTGAATTCATTTATTAGTTCTAAGAGTTTTTGATGGAGTCTTGAGGGTTTTCTATATATAATATCATGTTCTCTGAGAATAGTGACAGTTTTACTTCTTACTTTCCTATTTTTTTAACATCTTTATTGGAGTATAATTGCTTTACAATGGTGTGTTATTTTCTGCTTTAAAACAAAGTGAATCAGCTATACATATACTTATATCCCCATATCTCCTCCCTCTTGCATCTCCCTTTATTTCCTATTTGGATGCCTTTTATCTCTTTTTCTTGCCTAATTCCTCTGGCTAGTACTATGTGGATAAAAGCTGTGAGAGTGGGTATCCTTGTCTTATTCCTGATCTTAGAGGAAGAGTTTTCAGATTCTTGTGAATTATACCACGCAGAGAACTTCCAGATAAGGAAGACACATCTAGATCAGCAAAGGGTAACTACTGCCCTTTAGTTACAATCAAAAAACATTACACAACATTCAAATACCACTCGGCTGCTCTCAGACCTCTCTTGTGAGTGAACTATGCTTTCAAAAGCCCAGTCATATGTGGAGCCCTCCCCTCCACAAGAGTGAATCTGCTTTTCAGGAGGGCAGTAGTTGTGACACTCATTACTCTTTCTCCCAGGACAGACGTGACTCGGATGGGTGACCTCATGTGTCACCCCATCACCTCTTTTGGGCATCTTTTCATGGACAGATTCCTCCCTGTCCTTAGCTTAAGTCAAGAGCCAACCAGGACAATGCTGGAGAGAGATTTCTTATAGGAACATTTATGTATTATCTGATTGTTGCAATAATGGGACATTTATTTTCTACAATATGTACACACAAATTTTGATGAGACTTATTTGAGAACTGTTGCTAACAACATTCCTGTTCATCTTATATTCCCAAAAGAGAGAAGGAGAAAATTAAATGCATGGTGAGTGTTGAAGGGGTTTTAGGTTCTCCATGAGGAAGGTGACCTAGGATCCTCCAGAACTTCTTCTGCCTGGATTATTGGCCAGCTAGAAGAATCAGAACCACGCAAGTGTAGAGACCACCTCACTGGAGCCAGTGGGCATGAGTTCACCCACCGCCCCCTACCTCTGGCCCTTTTGGGCCTGCCTGGTGGTCAGGGTCTGAACAGCCTTTGTGGGTGCTGTAGGAGCACTTCTGAGTGCTCTGGCCTCAGAGGAAATCTCATGACGTTCCTGCGTATGCTGAGTGTCACCATCACTAGGCCCCCTAGTGACTGCGTGACACAGGGAGTATGTGGAGAGAGAAGGAGTCTGGTTGGAGATTTAGTGGACGGAGGATGCAACTAATAGAAACAAAGAGTGGCATCCTATCCCTTTGTCCACATAATGTAACCCAGTCAGGGGGTGACATCCTATCACCTTGGCATTTTCTTGGTGAGAAGGAAGTCAGATTCTGTCCATACCCTCAGGTGGGATTACACAGGGCTGGACTCATTGGTGGTCATCTCAGGGTGTGTCTGCCTCATGGATTATTTTAAAATCAGAAGAAAATTTGACGTAAAAGTAACCTAGTAATGGATCATTAAAACATGTACAAGACAAGGTACAAGAATAGAAAGGGT